CTATCTATCTATCTATCTATCTATCTATCTATATCTATCTCAAATATTACTGTTTATGTCTCCAGGTACAGAAATAAATATGCTATGAAATAATTAGCATAAATATATTAAAAGTACTCAAGGCATAAGAAGTTAAGGTTCTTCTGACAATGGGGAAACTTTTAAGAATGAATCTGCTTATAGCTATTAGGTAATGAATAACATTTTCCTTAAATTTTTAGCACCAATTACCAATTTTAAATTCAGAAATTTTGAGCTGGGCCTATGTATGGCTCAGTGGTAGAGTAGTTGGCCAGAAATAAACTGCAATCAATGATTATGGCTAATTAACATTACCATGAAGAATATATTTTATCCTTCTTAAAATAAGACTATAATAAAAAAAAACCTTACTTTTTATATTTATACTTCAAACAGCTTTACCGGATTTTTGGATACATTCAGTGCCCCCTCCCCCACATATTCATAGCCTTAAAAAGAAATTTTTTTGTTCTTAAGTTCAATTACGGTCATTTTAAAGGGGAAAAAAAAAATTTGTTTTTGTAGTACTGGGGCTTGAGCCTAGGGCCTTGAGCACACAAAGCAAGTGTCCTACTGCTGAGTTACATCTCCAGCCCAAAAAATTAATCTTAACCCTTGCACACATTCTATGTAGTTCCTAGACATATAAAGAGTTGTTTATAAAAAATGTTAAAACAAGTTGCTGATGTTGATCTGGATGTTTTTCTCTACCTTTTTGCTTTCTCTTTCTACGCAAACGCTGCAGACAGAATATGCTAAGAGAATATGCTTTGCCCACTGAAGGAGAGGAAAGTGAAGTCCTAGCAGATGCTTACATACTTCCACACCCTTGCAGCTCCTATGGGGCACTGCATTTGCTGAATGAATGTGCTACACTTGGCAACACTACTGCTGTCACAGGCCTGGGAAAGAAGACATGCTACTCATCAGACAAAGGGGACAAAACATCAGAGAGGTCTGTTTGCTTTCTCTTAACTAAGGCGGCCTATATTTTGTTTGGAACTATAACAAGTAATTCACAAATTCACAAAAAGATGAAGATACATATTGGAAGGTCTTTAAAAGGAAAAATACTTGAAGAGTCCCATTAACTATGTCCTTATTGCTATGAAACTCAGTGTAGTTTAGTAAACAAAGAAGAGAATAGCAGAGATGAATAAGAATTGTTTTGGCTAAGGACAAACACAAACACCATGAATACAGACCTAGAAAATATAGATTACAAATAGAACTCAAGTTTCTTATTAACAGTAAATGAAAAATACGTATGTGCATTCATCACTATGAATGAATGCACACACACAGAGAAATGTTATGTTATGCATGTCTACCACTTTAAATTTGCCAGAAGAAAGGCTAGACCAACAACATACTGTAATTGTCTCAATTCTAAATATAGCTCAGAGCCTAATTTCTGATCTACCTCGAAATTTTTAAAAAAAGCTTAAAAAAGGAAACAACAAAATCACTAAAACTTCCTACTATAATCACAGGACTCTTAATCCTGTATTCAAGGCCCATTTGCTTCCACTTCATGAACTATTTATTCACCACTGTAGATGTTTGGTAACTGGCCTCTCACGTAGGAGAAAAGTTGGGCTGGGGATGTGGCTCAGTTGGTAGAGTACGTGCCTAATGACAAGTGTAACTATGGAATGAGTCCACTCACAATGTGGGAACTGATGGAAAGCAGCCTCCAAAAAGAAAGGAAAAGAAGGCTGCAAAAAGTTGTTAACTGGGTCTTCAGGACATCATCAGTTTATAAAACAGCACAATGACTTTTTACGTCAATGTTTAAAAAAAATCAGCATACAATATTGAAGAAACAGGAAAAGGGCTGGGGATTTAGCTCAGTGGCACCTCTCCTGCCTTGTAAGCACAAGGTCCCGAGTTCGATCCCAGGTACCCAGATTAAAAAAAAAAAAAAAAAAAAAAAAAAAAAAAAAAAAAAAGAAGGGAAAAAGAA